CTAATTGACTTACATAGGCTTTCTGCCTTTCTATTTTAGCTATCATCATATAAATACTACATATGAACACAAACAAATCAATATATATGAGAACACTGATAAACTTGATAAGGATATTGCAGCAAACTTCATACTTTCAAAGAGGTTTCTTGTTTTCCAGAACTGATACTCTTTCTAAAACTTATGAAGTGAGAAATGAATTTCTTTTGCACTAAATATTTATTGAGTCACCCATAGATAATAATAAAACAACAAGTTATTGTACAGTAACACCACTGTTACCTTCTACTACTGACTCATTCTACTGGAATAGAGAAAACTTTAAAAAATTCTAAAAATAAAATTTTTATTTTTTATTTTTTAACCTACCTCTCAAATATTCAGAAACTAGTCTGAAAGAAGAAATTTTATTTCAATAGATTTTATTTAGGTAGAAGTATTATAATAACAAAAATAATAATTTTAAAATTATAATAATAGCAGAACTAATAATAATAACACGATGATTACATTTTCTATCAGTTTGTGGCAGCAGATTCCTGCCCGCCATTTGCTTAACAACCTACACGAGACAAATAATTCACCTGCCCTCTACCTGGCAGCGCCACATGAGCTTGCTCGTGCAATGCACCTTGAAGATATATTTTTATTTCTTATTATTATATGGTAAAATACTCAAATTGTAAATTGAAATATATATATATATATATATATATATATATATATATATATATATATATATATATATACATTGTAAATACTTTTTATTAATAAAGTTTAATGGTGATAGCATATACTAATCAAAGTTTAAAAATAACTGTAATTGTAACGGCTCTTGATAGCTGATTTAGTCATGGCCGAATGATTACCACAGTCCTTCGAGGAGTTCGTCAGATCCTTGGATCTCTGCCCCTCTGATCCCTTTGTTTGTGGTTACCATTCCTGTGGAATGTTAAGGTTGATCCCTTAAACCACAGATCAAGGCCCCTTTCACACTGAAGATGCATGCATCCTGGATGCATGTGCCTCTTGCATCTTGATAAAAGAGCTTTCACACCAAAGATGCACGTGCCTTTTGCATCTTCTGATAATATTCATTATTGAAATAGAGATAATTGATATTGAAATAAGCTTTTTTTTACTGTAATCGAATTATTTATAAAATATTTGTTTAACCGTAGCATATACTAAAATAATTCGTAGTTGATATTAAAATAATTTTTTTTTCACTGTAATTGATTTATTTATGAAGTATTTTTTTAATAGTAAGTGATATTGAAATAAGTATCTTTTTTTCTCGCTGACCTGAATAAATTATGAGTACATAGTTCTCTTACCTGTTGATTCAAATTTCTGTGCCAGGACCTTCCATGATTTCTCTTGTTCATCCCTATTTGAGTACTCTTTACTTGTATCATATATTGCAGGATAGTCTTCAACTGCTTAACAAAGATCACATTGAAGTTCTCCGTGTCAGGTAACATAGTTGAAGGGTGGAAGTTTCATACTTGGAACACAATTCCTAATTGCAGTATCAAATGAAACTGAAAAGAAACTGTGAGAGTCGGGCGAATCACTAGATTCTAGGAGCTTGCGGTTCATAGTAAATATTAATTAACTAGAAAGCCTTAAAAATGGATGAAGTAGGACCTGGAAACGTTGATGATATACGAAGTAATAAACACAAACGGATGATTAAATTCACAATATGATTAACTTTATTTATATTTTGATTAATTTTTTGTATTAACTATTTATTGCAATTTTGGCATACAATCTTTAATCTTCCAGGTAAAAACAAACATATGGAGCAATAGTTGAAAATCAGAGCAATTGATAAAAAAAAGCCTATAGTTAAAAAAAATTAAACAATGGATAAAAAAAAAGGAAACAATACTTGAAAATAAAAATGCAATTGATAGAGACGTCAATCACAAGAGCTTAGAGAAAATTGAGAAGGGAGAGAGAGGATATACCATGCGTTGGCGGTGTAAGCCGACTGGACCTAATGATTGATTCTCAAAAATATTTTGCTTCGGGCGGGTCGAGATGAAAGGGGTGAATATGCAAGACCAGCATAACAGAGACGCATGCTAAAAATCTCCAGCCGGCTGGTTCCCAAGATGCACATGCATCTTGCATCCAGGCTGCAAGACGCACTTGCATCTTCCGTGTGAAAGCTCTCGCATGCATCCTGCATCGTCAGTGTGAAAGGGGCCCAAGAGTGATTCGGGTGTTGATCTGCCTGATACTTAAGATTATTCTTCTAATCATCTTCCTTCATCCACTTCGTAATCTCACCCCTCTATTGAACACGCTCTGCATGTAACTGCATTCTCTGTACAATACCTTGATAAATGGTGACCCCGACGTGATGTAACAGGCCCTGACTTGAACTGAGAAAGAAGAATATTAAAACTACGATGTAAACACAGGATGACTGAAGAAGATGACAGAGGAGTACTGGAGATAGCGGTTGAGGATCACCACTACACAATCTGCTTCAGACTCAGCCTTTAAAAATTCAGCAGTCACAACTTTCAAGACCAGGCTGAATTCAGCTATAAACTATGCTTGTATAAGGAAATACTCCAGCTTTCAAACTGAAGCAACATCCTCAACCAACCTGAAGTCTCTTAACACAGCTGTACTCATATATACCAACACGAACATTTTTTTCTTCTTTTTATTATCCTTTTAATGAATTTTTTTCCTTTTACAAGTATCTTATATTTTTGTTATTATTTTATTGTATATATTTTTTACTTAGATGTTTTCTTTTTTCTTAATTTATATATAATAGTATGAATGTACACATAGACCCTTAATGCCCAATGCCCTTGATTGTGGCAGATTGTATTATTATTATTATAATAAAAAGGTTATAAAAAAAAAAAAAAATTCTTGAAAAATAAAAGGACAAGAAATCCATCTTTTTTTTTTATTCTCCCTTCCTGATAACATCTTATTTCAGTTCTAACTGTGTCAGCTTTAAATAGGAAGCAAAAAACACTTGTTGAGTATCTTAAGTATTAAGCCTATTTGGAGCAATGCAGAACTCAGAAATAATGCCAAGTTCATGGAAAAAGTCGAGACTGAGCCCAATCCACAAGAAGTAGGATGTACTTGACCAGAGCTGTCGCATGAGTTTTAGGAGCCAGGGATGAAATTTTACCAGGCGCCCTTCCTCTCCCCCTGTTCCATCCCAATTTGATCAACACCCCATTAACCCATATTTAAATAGAGAAAGAGAGTTTAGTGATTAAGTGGAGATACATTTCAAATCTCAAATATTTTTTTAGTGAGAAACAAAGTTGATATTCATTTTTCACAACTCAGAAAACTATTAAATATGAATTTTTATAGCAATTTAATTAAAATTTTCAGCATGAAATTTTTGCCTAGGCTGGATCCTTTAAAATTTTGTCGAATATCACAAAAATCGTGATAACTTCACCATGTATCCATCGATTCACATGAAAATCATCATATGTGTAGGTACAAACTCAATCTCTGCACCAAAGATATAAAATATGTTTTAGAAGTTTTTCTAAATTTCTAGCTTAAAACAGAATAAAATACAAAATTGATGTGGTTTGGAAGAGTAGTAATTCAGCTTTCCAACAGTTGTACTGATGTTGAATTTGAAGAAAATCTTGAGAGGTTATGAATGGTTTAGTTAACAACCAAAAATACAATCCTACTAGAAAATCATGGAATAAAATTTGAATTTTTTATTTTCGATAAAACATTTGTAATCAAGAGTTTTAAAGAACACTAAAGGCAAATCTAACTTTCTTTTTTATAATAAAAATTTAATAGGCTTACTTTACTTGAAGTACATTTTATTTTTTTGTTAATTAAGATACTCTATACATCTTTTGATACTATAGTTAATATTTTTTCTTATTTTTCACAAAAAAATAAATCGGTTGAAATACTATAACCTAATAATCCGTGTAAAGCAAAAGTAAAAATTAATAACAAATTTTGTTTAAAATTTTTTTTTTTTTCTTAGCTCCTAAGGTGCATTGGTAAGAACCCTGGAACATGGGTCCATTATTTTTCGACCCAGTATCACCAAAAAAAGTTTCATTGAAATCAGTGGCCCCATGTCTATAACCTCCCATTGTTAAATGTCTAACATACCTAGATCACTGATCATTACAGCGCTTGCTACCTCTAGGGCAAATAATCTGTCACATTATATAATTTTGTTTTCATCATAGGTGTTCATTTATTCTTGTTTGTTACATTCTGACCACAAAGAATCTTGGCTACACAGTACATTTTGTAAATAAAATATAAATGTTTTACTATGACTAAAACATTTTTTATACCAAAAAATTCTTTCAAAGAAATATATATCTCTCAAATTTAATTAATTTATTTACAAATAATGAATAACTATTCGTGTCTGTTGGCTGATTTTCCAGTAACTTTTTATTTTTCTTATTTATTTATTTTTTCCAATTTCACACATTATTAATGATTTTCATGGTAGGTCAAATTTACATTTAAAATGTTTAATAAAAATACATTTGCTAAATATAATGCTTGTCATATATTATGATATCTTATTAAGTATGGCAGTGTCTCCCTCCCTATTGCTTCAACTGGACTAATTTTGATACTTTTTTTCAAATACCACACAGACTATCGAATCTTAATTAAATTAAAAAAGAATTGTACCATATTGAAAATAAGCAAATTACACAGAAAATTCTCACTTTAATGGGCTCAGACATGTCCACAATTATTCAGTAATTTAAATCATAAGAATAAAAAAAAAAATCAAAATTTTACAAAAAAGTAATGTCATAAGATAGAACATTTGTAGCTAAATCCATGATTTACCAAAGAAAGAAAAGTAAAATTAATTTTTAAAAAAGATAAGATAAAATCAAAATTCTTGATTATATAAAAAATAATTTCAGAATATGAACTCATAATTATGGTCTATAGAGAATAAAATTAAAAAAAACAAAACAATAGTTCACCTTCTTTATTTCGTCCTTTCTTTTTTGAACCTTCTTTATCCTGAAAAAAAAAAATGTTTATTACTATTAACTATATTAGTATGGTGTAAAACATAAAAGTCAGCGTAATGTCCAATAATTTCATAAATGAAAGAACTTTAAAACTCCATTATAATTTTCCCCTTGTTTATTTTAATTTATCCTCATCACAAAATAATAAAAACTATTTCTATAAAAAAGATGTTTCAGATCAAAATTTAAATTGGTTTTTTAGGCTGATTAAAGCAATGTAAAAGTATTAAAATTTTAATCTTCGATCACTCGGTATTTTCATAAAAAAAGACCCCGAAAAATCACAAAAATACGATGCCGATCTCTCAAAAATCAAATCCGAAAGTATTTTCATAAAAAGCGGCCTCCAAAAAATAATGGTCGACCCTGATATCAATTAAATCCGAAAAGTTACAATGTATTGATGCCCGAGGGCGCAATCTCAAATCCGACAGTATTTTCATAAAAAGCGCCCCCCAAAATATAATAGCCGACCCTGATATCAATTAAATCCCAATAGTTACAAAAAGTCGATGCTCGGGGGCACAATTACAAATCCGACAGTATTTTCATAAAAAGCGTCCTTCAAAACATAATAGTCGACACTGATATTCATTAAATCCGAAAAATTACAAAAAGTCAATGGCCTGGGGTGCAATCTCAAATCCTAAAATGTTTATATAAAAACCGCCCCCAAAAACATAATAGTCGACCCTGATATCGATTACATCCAAAAAGTCCTCGCCCGGGGGCGCAATTACAAATCTGACAGTATTTTTATAAAATGCTCCCCAAAAACATAATAGTCGACCCTAATATCAATTAAATGTTACAAAAAGTCGATGGCCGGGGACGCAGTCTCAACTCCGAAAGTGTATTTATCAAAAGCGTCCCCCCCCCAAAAAAAACATAATAGTCGACCCTGATATCGATTAAATCCGAAAAGATACAAAAATTCGATGAGCGGGGGCGCTATATCTAAATGCTATATCTATTGCTAAATACTGGAGACCATTTTCAAAAACGCTAAAACATATAAACAGACCTAAATATCGAAGAAATCCTTAAAATTACAATACAAATTAATCGAATCATATTTTTATATTAAATAACGAATAATAGATAATGCATATTATCTGTAAATAACAAATAACAAATAATTATCTGTCTAAAGAACGTCGAATAAGAATAACTAATAAATTTTTATCTATTATTCATTATCTAGATAAAATTTCAAATAATTTATTGGAACCACGCCCAACACTGATCTATAGATGGGCAGAAAAAAATTAACTGAAGCTGAACACAGATAAACTTAAGGCTATCCTCATTGGTTACAGGCAACTCATTAGTTTTGTTCCTTTCTCTCCTCTCAATAACCCCTCCATAAATTTCTTTCTGACAGCCAAAAACCTCGGAGAGATCTTTGATCAGAATAACCACATTTCCCAGATTACCCATAAATCCATAACTATCCTCAAACCAGGATTCTATTCGAAAAAAATAAAATAAAACAGCTCCTTGTAACATCCCTGGTTTTCTTCCACTTCAACTACGATTATTTAGTGTATGGAGGGCTGTCCACAATAATGAAGGTGAGGCTGAAAAGAGTCATGAATTGCTTCTCAAGATTATCTTTATCTTAGGGATTCTCAGGCGTTCCCATGTTTCCTGCTACATTTCTTTCTTGGCGTTTTCCATTTCCAAGTCCTCAGACCAAAAATTCTCTCTACATCCTATAACTTCTTACTCTTCATTCCTCTATCCACTCTCTTGATACCAGATCTCTACCTATAGATCTATATCACCCCTCCCATAAAACCACTTCCTTCGGCAAATCCTTCGTCATTTGTGCTACCTCCTTTTGGAACTCCTTGCCTATCTCATTACGTCAAACCACATCCACAAATTCCTTCAAACAACTTCTATTCCACCAACTAATACATATTCAAACTTCCGCAAGCTTGTAAGAATTTTTAGGTTATGTAATCACAGTTGCTCACCAACAGTTAATTGATAAGAGCCATTTTAATTTTATTTATATATATTTTTTCTCATATATTTTCTGTATATATTTGAATATTTAGCTAATACAGTAGTATTTTTCAAGGACGCTAAACGTTCTTATATATGGTTCTACAAGGAATATATAAGCCCTAATACTTTAAAGATTTATTCAACTTCAACGATGTTTCGAGATAATTTGCTCATTCTCAAGTCATCAAAACTTTTTGTTCATGAAAAAATATTTTTGTATTATAATCTCATTAAATGTTCATTTTCGGTAAATGGATTTATGGGTAATCTAGGAAATGTGGTTAATCCAAGAGAGGTTCTGATCAAAGATCATTCAGAGGTTTTTGACTGAAGAAATTTATGGAGTGGTTATTGAGGTAAAGCAGAGGAGAGAAAGGAAGGGAACTAATGAGGTGCCTGGAGCCAATGAGGATAGCCTTAGTTTTATTTGTGTTCAGTTTCAGTTAATTTTTTTCTACCCATCTGTAGATACAGTCAATATCCTCTTGTAGATTTTGGATAGCCTCAGGCATTTCAGAAGGTTGGAACATTAAGTATATTTGAAGATCATTTGAATATCAGTAATAGTAGGAGTGATTAATGGAGTCAGTAAGGTCGCTAATATAAATGGAGAGAAGGGTTGGAGAGAGTGAGGAGCCCTGAAGAACACCTCGTGATAATTTAAGGGACAAGGAGGGAGATTTGTTAGGATAAAAAACATTTTAGAACGCTATTCGATATGGGCAAGCTTAGGAGTTTGGAAAGGAGTATATTATGATTGATAGAATCAAAGATTTTTGAAAAGTCAAAGAGGATTAAGATAGAGATTTTCTGTTAACTTCTTATTTATTGAATTATGTTTGTTCTTGTTATTTACACTAATTATTTTTTTTTTAATTATTACTTTTGATATACTTACCTTTCTCATTTATTTATATCAAAAAATCATTTTCCCATCATATTTCAATGTTTTTTATTATTGTATACTTGTATATTTACCATTTTACTGATTTTATTCTTTAGTTTTATAACTATAATCTTTTTCATTATTATCACTATCATCTTGTTACTGTTATCATGCACTCTTATTACCGTTACACTTTTATATTTATTATTTTACTTATGTTATTGCAATTTTTAGCCCTGAGGATGACCCACATTTTTGGGTCATAATGTCGGCTAACCCAATAAAAATACCTTGACTGAGATTCCTGATAATTTTATTTCATCCTTAAAAATAAATATAATTTACATTTTTTTTTCTTTGTCCTTTCATTGACTGAATGCCCCAACCAACTTCTATTACGTAAAAGTATAACATTCTACAACTAGTAAGTTCCTTTATAGTCCACTCAGTAAATATTATTCCATTTTAATCCTTATGTGTGATTTAATGTATATGAAATGATATATGAAAACTCTTTAATTTGTAATAATAAAAATTACTTGTAATTGAATCTATATCTGAATTCTTTTTTGTACTTTTGAACCAGCCCAAAGCCCAAATGTGGAAAGAGTTGTAAGGATAAGGGAAAGGGACATTAGTACTTAATTGCTGTTTTAATAAATTGAGGATTTGGGAGTAGGTTAGAGACAAATTTTATTTGTCAGTTTTTAGATTAACAGATTTTTGTTTTAATTGGATCAAAACACTTTCCATAAGTACTCTTTTGTCACAATTGGGGGTTGTAGATAAAGATTGTTCAGAAAGTTCAGAGAAATTTAGGATTTTTGGAGAAAATTGAATATTTATGCTGGGTGATGAGGTCTTTAAGTAGATTTCTTGTTTCCCCATTGTAAGAGGAGTAAAATTGGGAGGTGGAACAGGCGATGTGGTATACAACATTTGAGCAATGTTGGAAAGGAATTGGGTGGTTAGGGGTGTAAATGTTGGAAACTTTTAAGTGGAATTTGAAAGTTAGGAATAGAGGAGCATAAAGACTTTTGAATCTAGTCAGAAGGATGAGAAGGGATATATGGTAGAGATCTATATAGGGGGATTAAGGGAGGTTTTGGTGAGATTGAGGGAAGGTAATGATGAGAGGTGGGTTTTGTAGTCCTTAAAGTTTTTTTTATAGTATAGTGAACAGATTTTAGTGTATTAAGTATTATTAGAACAGTATAGTGTATACGATTTTTGATAAAAAATATGTCGGAGAACCAGATGATTATAGTATTTAATGATTATGTTTGATAGGTCAGGTAACAAGGGGGTTGCCAATGGCTAGTACTCCAATTTGATTTTAGAATTGTCCACAGAAAGTGAAATAACCGAATTAACAATAGAGTTATAGTGATTCAATGAGTGAAGAACAGTTGAGAGAGGTATGGGATTCTATTGATGACCAATTTTCTTACACTATAAGCAGGGCTCTGTCTAAAGAATGTTGGTGAACAGGCTTTTGATGTCGAAGGAGGTGAGAATTAAGTGGTCGGAAACAGTTAAAGATAGTAGCAGGTTGTGCAAGTGAAATGAGTTATGGATATCATTTGGAGAATTGTGACTAAAGCTTTATAAGGAAGGAAGTAAAAATTTTCTTAAGTTTCACAAAGGTAGAGTTAATATTAGACATGATGGGATGGAGGGGGGTTCCAGGTTTGTGGATTTTAGGAAGTCCATAGAAGTTAGGGGCCACGGAGTTATAAGATATGAAGTTTCTGTAAGTGGGGTATGTAATTTATTTTGAAAGTAAAAAGTTTCTGATTTGTTGGTTGAATTGAGTTTTAAGAGGATTAGGGTCACGAGATGTCAAGGCATATATGGTTAGGTCTGATAGAAGTTTAGTAAATTTTTTATTGTATTCAGTGAGGTCCATAATAACAGTTTTATTGCCTTTATCTGTTTTTGTAACAATGATATCATCATGGGTTTTTAGTAATGAATGGGTAAACAAAATTTCTTTGAAAAATTGAGGGGAAAAATTAGTAGAAATGGATGGTGGTGTTGGATGTGGTTAGAAATAATGTTCGTTATAGAAACACATGACATTCCTT